AGGTATTTGCATCACTACAACTATCGATCTAAATCTCATTCTCTCTCTCTCTCCACGTAAATTACTGTGAAATTGATGGTGTTTATCTTCCTGAAAATCGGTTGAACCTCTTTTTTTGTTGTGAAAATCCATATATATGAAAATCGAGTATGTAAAAGTTGAAATTGTGCCATTTATCTTTCCTGAAAATCAATTTTAGTGAAAACCGGATTTGTTATTTATCAAATTTATGTTAGGATCGATTCTAAAAAACGTTGTGTTACCGCTGAAGATCCGGTAGACGTACCTACAGGTATATCATATTATAATGTTGGTAAATAGGTTCATAAAGAAGAGATTAGATGGAAAAGACCGAGCTCAAGGAAATAGAGCTAGAGATCTCATTGAGATAGAGCAAGATGTGAACTTAGAATAAGAAATGCAAGTCGGATGATGATTTCCTTGAATTTGAGGAAATTAACCATAATACAACTGTGCAAAATGAGGGAAACTTCACCAAGTGTTCTCTTTAATAGGAGGAAACGTCGTACCAATGATGTGTTCTATAATACGGTTGGTTGAATTACCGAAAGTCTTAAAGTGAGAAGATCCCTCCAGAGATTTTGAAGATAAATTCATTAACTCAAGTCTAGAAGTTCAAAGCTTTGACAAAGATAAGAAATGATCCTATAAACGTAACAAACGGTTGGCAAAATGAAGAAGGCGATAGAGAGGCTTGGGTCAAGTACATTTTGGAATGGTAGTATTATTAATTAGGATGTTAATTCGTATTTTGGATGTTTTATGTTTTTTTGGGATGTTTCTTAGGATGTTGCTTGGTATTTTGGATTTGTAAGTTTTTGGTATCTTCGATAGGGATGTATCGAAATATTGTTATGCTTTTTGGTAACGTTATTATGATGCAAAGTGGAATGACCGTAAGTTATAATGTTTATTAACATAATTTTTGTAATATGTTGACATGAATGTTCAATCTATAAATTAAAATTTTACTATTTTAATAATTTATATAAGGGAAATCTCCAATAAAGTCCTAAAATTTTGGCCCGGTTTACGTTTCAGTCCTAAACTAATTTTTGTTTATGAAAAAGTCCTAAAAATCGGCAAAAGTATGCATTTTGACCCCTTTTGACCGGTTGGAACCGGCAACAAATTAATTTGGGACTATTTCATAAACTAACCTAAAATATTGGGACTATTTCACAAAATTACCTAAAATATTGGGATTTTTTCTGCAAAAAAATATTAGGACTTTTCTGCAAACAAAAACTTATTATTATTATTATTATTATTATTATTATTATTATTATTATTATTATTATTATTATTATTATTATAAACAAGTATACAAATTTTTAAATTCATTATTATTAATATTTTTAATAATACATATAAATACACTTAAATAAAAATATATTAAAGAAATTATTTAAAGGTGAAGGTGGTGGTGATGGTAATGCTTTAAGCATTGAAATCAGTGCTTGTATGTCCTCACTTTGTATATAATCATTTCACATTTCTTATTATTGTTTTCAATTCAAAATATTAACACTTAACAATTTAAAAGAAGTTGCCTATTTGTAAAATTATGTATAAATAGTTTAAGATAAAAGGATTTCTCACTTTGTATATAAAATTTCTTAAGGTAGAATGATTTCTTTTCAAATCCAACAGATCCACAATAAATATTTACATTGGTGGCCCATATCAAAATTCGAAAATATTAATTAAAATATCTTATTTAATAGAAAGTAATATGATTTATTTTGCTTTATCACACTATATCTGTCATGTTTCCAAAAAAAACACAAGGATAAAGTAATGAAAATGAGCAACACACATGTTGGTAATTCAAAAATACTTACACACAAGACATACACGCATATCACATGCTCACTATTTGTAAACAATTTAAAAAATCAGTAGCTTCTTTTAAATTGTTAAATGTTAATATTCTGAATTAAAAACAATAATAACAAATGTGAAATGAGCATATACAAAGTCAGAATATACAAACATACATTCATGATTTCAAAGCTTAAAGCATTACCATCCGCTCAATCTTCACCTTTATAAAATGTCTTTAATATTTTTTTTAATTTAAATGTATCTATATGTATTATTAATAATATTAATAATAACAAATTTTAAAAATAGTATACTTATTATATTTTTAATATAATAATAATAAGGTTTTCGTTTGCAGAAAAACCATAATATTTTTTGTTTTTGTAGAAAAGTCCCAATATTTTGGGTCAATTTATGAAATAGTCTTAAATTAATTTGTTACCGGTTCCAACCAGTCAAAAATGATTAAAATGCAAATTTTTGCCGGTTTTTGGGACTTTTTCGTAAACAAAAATTAGTTTAGGACTAAAACATAAACCGGACTAAAATTTTAGGATTTTATTGAAGATTTTCTTATATATATATATATATATATATATATATATATATATATATACACACACACACACACAAAACTTTTATAACTCAGATTCAATTTGATTTTATCGGTTTTTATATTTTCTAAAATCGAAACCAAACCCAATATTTTGGTTTGAAAAAAAACTCAAACCCAAATCATCGGCATCTATTTTGATTTCGATTTTTGGGTTCAATTTTTCTCATCGATACGAATTTTCATTCTCCTAAGACTAAGACTAAGGCCATCGCAATCTCTTATGTGTGATTATCGGCTAAAAGCATAAATCAAAGGTATCCTCGTCTTCTATGCAATGTGCCATTATTTCTTGATTTTTCATTTTATCGGCTTGGATTTAAGTTACCGTCTTATGACTCTTGTTCACATACCTCCTTATTGTATTATGTATGTAATATGTATGCTATATGCTGTGTTGTCCACGTCGCTCACAGCTTACACCATAACATCTTATTTCAGTAAGTACTTAATTTTATTTTAAAAAGGTAGACGTAGTTACGGAAAGGGAAAAAGATTTGTCAGGGTAATTACTTTTTTCGTTTTGTTCACGTTTAGACAATTTTTTTTGTACACATTTAATAATTTATTTTGTTAAACGTGTTCACATATTACTATTATCACCTGCTATAGCAGATGAAAATTGTAATATGTAAACACATTTAACAAGTTAACTGATCAAATGTGTAAAAAAAATGAAAGTTGTCTAAATCTAATTTTTTTATACAAATTTATTAAAACCTCATATAATTTCTAACAACATTTTTATGATATATTTTTTTTCATATAGATTTTTTTTCTAAAGCTGGAGGGAGTGGTTCGCCAGCCATACTCGCCTACGCTCACTAAGGGTGTTAAGTCCACTCCTCACAAAAGTGTTAAGCTTCTTGCCATAAGAAAGTCACCAACTTGCTAGCCATAGGAAAGAGAAAAAGGTTGGAATATGAAGGCCACTCATTGGTTTCATTTTTTCCTTTTCTTTTTTTTTCTTTTCTTTTTCAAAATAAAAATAATATAAGGTTAGGTGTTACAACTTCCTACATTTTTGCTACCATTCTCTTCATTCTACATATCAAAAAAATCTTATATGGTTTTAAAATATCCTATGTGGCAACATGCTAAACATGTTACTATTCTTTCTAACCTAATACAATGTTTTAAACTTTTATTATAAAATTTTTAACATTTTTTATGTTTTCATATAATTTTAATACAATTGCTTTTAAACAAAATATTTTATAAATGTTTTAAAATTTTCTTATAAGTTTTAGTTTTTTTTTTTTTTTTTTTAAATTTCATACAGTTGTTTTATAACTTTATACAATTATTTCTAAGTTTTCTGTGCAACATTTTTAAAATGATTAACTTTATACAATTATTTCTAAACTTTCTTTTGCAACATTTTTAAAGTGATTTACAAATTTTGTATGGCAATTTAATACTCTCTTTTACAACATGTTTAAAACGTTCAATTAAAAAATTAAAAGTTTATAAACTTCTAATTAAAAAGTATTAAGAAGTTATAAAAATTTAAAACATTTACATTATATAGATTTTTTTTATGTTTTTTTATTTGATACTTGGTACTTTTATTTTTATTTTTTTAAAAAGACATCCATAGTTATTGTTAGATATTTAATTTATTTAATTGTATTGTTAGATTCCATTCCCTTTAAGAGTATTATATATGCTTAAAAACACAAGATAAAATATAAGTGGCTAATTAATTTTTTTTAAAGACAAAAACATATTTATTAATTAAAAAATAAAGTTTCAAATTAATCAATATCTAATTGCTAACTTCGTTCTATATTTATTGTCTAATTTTGACTTTTGAATTATTTATTTTTCAACTTTGATTTTAAATAATTTTGTTTTAGATATATAATAGTTAATGCAAAATATAGGAATACATTGTCTTTTAATCTTTTTTTCATTGTTGTAAGTCAAGTAATACATAACACGAATAAAAATATTTAAGGTTAATGTTGATGAATTAAGAAATCAAAAGTCAAAAGTAGACAATAATTATTGGACGGATGAAATAATATTTAGGATATTATGGATACTTTGAAAGTAACATTTGAAAAAAAAATACAAACAAATAAAAAATAAAATCGCTATTTGAATTATGAAGTGTGACGAAAATGAATTATCAAGGCAATTAACTTTTCGTTTGTTCACATTTAAACAATTTTTTTTTGTATACATTTGACCATTTAACTTTTTAAATGTGTTTGCATATTATAATTGTCACCTACTATAGCAGATGACAATGATAATATATAAACAAATATAAGTTATTTTTGTTCTAACCAACCATTTAGTTAATTTTAATTTGAAACAAAAACTATGATAGAGCGTGTTTGACACATAACGTTTGAAAGTTTCTAGTTTCTAGCTTTTGATAAAACGTTTCGTTTTGATTAGAAAGTCTTGTTCAACACTACAAACTTCTAACGTTTAATTTAAACAAAATGCTCTAGATCCAAATGGTAATTCATGTAGTGTTTAACAAAATACTACAAACTACAAATTACCCGTTACCAGTTAATTTTACCGAACACATTATAGTTGCATAAATACCAAATGCACAGTAACAAAAAGTGTAAAGAGATATTAATAATAATATTATAATAAGTCCCCCGAAATACACAAAAAAAACATCGTCCTCAAAAGAATCCCAACTAAATTCACTTCAAAATACAATGAATCAAAATATATGAATATCCGTCATAGATGATGACTGTAGAAGATTTAGAAAATATACATCTCTCTAGATCAACGAGTACACAAGAGCACATCCAAAAACCAAGCTTCCAACCATCGATCCCATCTTCTCAACTCCACTCTACAATTACACGAATCCCACAAATTAATACCAGAGGTAGTAGTAACACAATGCATACGGAGCTAAAATGTTATATACTAATACTACAACTCAAAAGTATAATGTCATGTACAAGGACTCAATAATGTAATAATTCGTTTACAAATAAATACAATGTATTGTTGCATAATTAGGGATGACAAAAATACCAAAAATCTATGGAAAACCCGAACCTAAAACTTTTGGGACGAGTAAGTAGCTATGGTTTCAGGTTGGGAATGGTTATGATCTTAAAGTTAAAATTGAAATTATTAAATAATTCATGTTGTTATTTAAAATGCCAATTTGTTTCACTAAAGTCAAACAAAAATGATCATAATATATTGCTATTATTAATAGACTTAATAATATTAATACTTTTATTGCTTCATGGAAGTAATTAAAATATTTACCAATTGAATTTTCATGGAAAAAGGAAAAATGTGGCAACTACAATCCTTGATTAATGGTATTGAGGTTGAGTGTTGATCTCAATGGATCACGTGACTCCCATCATTCACTTTACCTTAAGAAACCAAACCTGCTTCTACTTTTACCTAACTTTACATACTCTACCCGACCCCATCAGATCTAACCGCAGCTTAATGCTAAATTATTCTTGCATCAGATCTGTAACAATAAAAATGTAAATGGAGTAAGGTGAGAAGTAAGTACCACGTCAGTTGCTGATGGTGCCGGAGATACACCGGTGGTGGTGACAGCCGGAGAAGGTGCTCCAGTAGGTGGTGCTGGTGGGCTCGAAGTTAAGGGAGATGGTGCAGCCGATGGAGTCACGACTGGGGAAGAGACTGGGACGGGAGCTGGTGGTTGTGAAGCTGCAGGAGGAGGAGTGGCTGCTGGTGGTGGTGAAGCAACAGGAGGGGGAGTGGCTACTGGAGGTGGAGTGGCGACAGGTGGTGGTGAGCTGACTGGCGGAGGAGTGGAGACAGGTGGGGATGCGACGGTTGGTGGTGGAGTGGTGGTGGTTGGGGAGGTGGTGGGGGAGGAGGAAGGTGATTGAGCGGCGACGGAGGAGAAGATAATGCAGATGAGGGCAGTGAGGAGGGCAGCGTTGCGATCCATGATTGATTAATTTAAAGCTTGGAATTGGATTTTGGATGAAGGACAAGAAGAATGTGTTATGTGTGTGAGTGATGGTGAGAGAGGAAGAGGTTTCTGGTTTATTATATAGCGGACTTGTATGAGGTATATCCGGTGCGGTGGGGTCGTTTGTATCATATGCATTGAGCCTTCCTAATAATCACCCTCCAATATCACAAACATTTAACTCTCTTACTTTAGAAATGAAGTATATTGTTTTTTACATGGAAATGTGTTTTGATGAGGTATAATGACTTATAAGTGTAATATGGTACAGGTTTTGTGTTATTTAATATAGTACAGGTTTTGTGTTATTTTTTACGTACATATTATTATTATTAAATTTGTTTGGATTGTCATATTAAATTCTTATGATCGATTAATGATGTAATATGAATAATTCAAACAAGTTCAATGATAAAAGTTGTAAAAAATCAGGTTTATTTACCTTTTTTACTAATTTTTTCAAAAAGTTTATTTTTCTTATATCTAAAAGTAGTTTTTATAAGATCTGTTGCTTTTACAAAATATTTTTTAAGTTTTTATCTTTTCCTAAAAGTTAAAAGATGTTTCAAAAGATAAAACAAACACCCCTTAAATATGAATAAAACCTAAACTATATTATTTTTGTAAGTTATTAACTCTTTTTATAATAGTTCATATCATTAGAGAAATGGTTTGATCTTTTGAGGATCGATCTTGATGTTTGTTTGATGAGTTTACATGGTATTACGTAGTTGTTCAGATAAATGTTGACTAAGCCAATGGTGCTTAGTTGGAACTAGGATGAGTAACCGGTCCGAACCGAAACCAATTTAGACGAATAATTAGAACCGATAACTAGACTAGTTAGGCTATACCGGTTCGTGTGTAGGTGTTAGTTTTCGGTTAAACACTTGGTTGTAATCGACACATGTTCTTATGCAGTTGATACAACTAGTTAAGGATTCGAGCCAAAATGATTAAAATAATACAAAATCAACCAACAAAAATTACCCCAATATATAAACAAATAGGGTGTTTATATAATCTAAAATGAAAACCCAATACTAAAATAATATAAATCAACATGTAACCAAATAATGTGTTTATATAGTCTAAACTGAAATACACACATCATACTACGTGTTGAAAAAGTTCATGACATTCCAACATCAAACGAAGAATTTATGACCGTTTAAATAAAATGAAAGATTGAGTAGGCTCGGGTTCAAACTGAAACACCTCTCATACAATATACTCGAAATATGGTTCAATGGCAACATAGAAGATGACTGGAGTTGTCACGTCATAAGGATGTATTGTGAACAATCCAAATAAGTTTATAAGGATGTAATGTGAACAATCTAAACAAGTTCAATGATAATATATGGACAAAAAAACTTAAAGGACTAAATGTGAACACAATCTAAACTATATAACCTACATCAACGAGTTATAACGATATAATATGAAGAGTCCAAACAAATTCAATGATAATATATATTGACAAAAAATAATTAAAATAATTAAATATGAACATAACCTAAATTATAAATGTTACCCTTATAAGTCATTATCAATTTCACGAAAGAAACTACAGTGTTTGTCTTCGAAAGAAGAACATATATATTTAAGAGTGCACATTGTTTATCTCAATCTTATAGTTATTGTCCAAGTTTTTAGAAATTGATGTCACTTGTCATTATGTTTAAAAAAAACATGAGTTTTATTCTCTTTTAAGTACCATCAACATTGTTCTGTTAAATCATCTCTAATAAATGAAAGTTTTTTTTTTTTTTTTTTTTTTTTTTTTTTTTTTTTTTGTCATATTCTCAAAGCTTTTGCCACATATAATTATATGAGATTTTATAATTATTTAAATTCCACATATCATTATGTGGTATCTTTATTTTTTTTATTAATCAATAATCAATTCCACTAAGTAATGAGTCTACTGTTATATATGTAAACTATTCATTCTATTTAAATGTTTATTAATTTACAAATATATTTGAGTTCAAATGAATGTTCTAATGACACAATTAATATCGTGTATTTGATTATATATTTGAATTGAAAACATAGCTTTAATTTACAAATATAAATAAATATGTATGTATAATACATCTCTATTTCTATCCTAATAAATGAAAAAAACACCATCTTCAAAGAAGTATTTGAAAATTTTGATTCATAACAACTAATTACAATATGTCAATAAATTTTTTTGTTAGTATAGAATCAATAACTACTTATTCATCATTTCGTTTGTAATTATTTCGAAAGTTAATTTGAAAATATTTAATGTTTACACCTTTATTTTCAACATCATTATTTAAAATATGCCAATAGTTTTTTATTAGTATAGATTGAATTACTTATTTATTATATCATTCGCATATATATATATATATATATATATATATATATATATATATATATATATATATATATATATATAAAAGTATTTTTTTTAAATCTTTAATATTTATACATTGATAATAAACTTTTATTTTTAATAAACTCATGTAATACACACGTCTCACACCTAGTACATAAAAAACATGTTTTTACCCTTATATTGATCCATTATTTGTTTTAAGTATTACCATATTTATTTGTTTTTTGTAAGCCTTTTTTTAATATTTATGTTATTAGTGTTGGGTTTTAAGCATAACCACATCCTATGGTGTACATGCAACCCTAATTGCTTTGGATCTAGGTTTTTCTGGTTTAAACATACAACTGTTAATACCAAAGCAATAACCCTATGACTAGCATATACAATTCGAAATTGACATATGATTAGGGTTAGAAACTTTACCTCTCTTGTTATGTAGCAATAACAAGTTTAATCCTTCTTGATCTTGACTTCTGAAAGCCTAGTGCCCCAAGTGTTGCACCTCTAATGGAGTCACAAACACCCAATGCAATTAAAGACTTGGAGAGGGAAGGATTTTGCCTAGGGTTTCTCTTAGAAGCTTGCATTAGCCAAAAATCCTTAACCATGGGGCCTATTTATACTTGTGGCTACTAGGGTTTTAGGTGTAAACCCTAAATGACTACTTAGGCCCTAAACAATCAAATGAACCCTTCTAAAAGGCCCCTTAGACAAATTCCTTATAGGCTTCCCATAGAATTTGTCCATCCCTTATATAAGGAGTCCACATCGCAAATTACAACTATCAAATAATTGCAATATCAGTCCCCAAGTATTTAATCAGTCTCTTTTGATCACCAAATGAGTTCCAAATTAATTTCCGATCAATACTAATTAAATCATATGATTTCCAGGTAACAATTTATTACACATATAATAAATTCTACTATCTCTTCTTGTCATCCTATCAAGTTGCATGAATGAAGGAAACTCAAAAGGACCATGCTCATAATCAGGTCAAGTACATACCAATAATAGTTATGGGCTTAGACACCTAGTCAAACAGTTACCCACTTGGATAAGTCTAATAACTATTATTGCAAGCACGAATTCAGAACCTGATTAACAATGATTAGCAGTCGTAGCTTTCAAAAGCCGCTGTTGAACTCTGATCTTATCAGCAACACGTCCTTTAGATAATGGATCATATATTCCTCTATCTAGATATCGTATGAACCGAGACATGGATTTTTAATCATTCTCTCTATTCATGTGTTGTTTTCCAATTTCCGATTTATGAAGACTGACAATAGACTACAATTAAACACATCAACTTAGTCCAGGCTTGGCCAAGCGCTTAGGGTGTCATCATTAAATCATAGAGGGACCCATATATACCACTTTTATCCCACACTGGGTAAAAGGAACGGATAAACTTTGACTCATATGCTTGCTTTATTTACTCATAAAATCACACACAATAATATGTTTTATAACACCAAGTTACTGGTGCGTTTACATATTATCAATGAGTAACCAACTTGTAAACTGCAACTATATGTATTTGTTCAAGAATATAAGATATTATCATCTCACAATCACTCATGATGAAATCCATGAAGTGATTCACGTGAGCGCGAGTTTAATCCAATACTCAAATCTTATTGCATGAGCACTCATAAGCACTGCAACAAACTTTTGCTATGTCTAAAAACTTTAGACAATCTACAGTCAGATTCATGACAGTCTTACCTCATTATCTACTTCCAAAGTATGATTGACTGTGGATGTTTGAATAATCTTATTATTCGGGAAGTCAAAACATGCTAAGTGAAACACAAGAATAATCGAATCCAACATGTCTTCAACACTTTGAGTATAAATAAAACACCTTTTATTTAATCACCATATCGATTACATATTATTCATTGTTTAATGTTTCGGATAATTAACTTAATACTTGAATTGAAACAATAGTCATCCCATGCTCCAAGCATGCACACTATGTTTACCTACGATCCTTACTTTGTGAAATAAATTAATTGAACACATTTCCAATGATACTCATTTCACAATTCCCAATCCTTATCACAAGGTAAGAATACCAAAATTTTGCTATGTGTTAGATTCTAACATTTTACACAATGATCCTTTTGTAGTGACATAGCACCAAAGTCATAAAGACTTTGTCAATGAGAGTACAAACTGCTCTATCGGAGATTGTTACAAGATAACTCTATATAAACTTGGAATCATGCAACTTGTATTGTGTGATGATTGAGAATTTTCATTTTTGGGAAATTAAGACTAAATCCTTGTTCACATGTATATGTGAGTCAAGTGAAGGACTAGGGGATCGGGTACACTTGGTTGTACTCTGATCAGGTCCACCACAAAGAACGATAAGGCTATTCGTCATGATTTACTAAAGTTTAGTAAATATGGTTGTGCTTACAAGTTTAAGTATAATTCTGAAACATTGTAAAAGTTTCAATGTATGGCAGGATGATTGAGAAGAATCAAATTAGGCAAAAAGATAAAAGTTTCTCCAATATGAAAAGACGGGAGAGTAGTTAAGTATCATGTTTTATGATCATCTTAATGATTATGAAAAATCATATCACAATTGATCCTCAAAGGACATCTTAGTGCATTTGTTTGTCTAAGAAGAGGAATCGTGAATTGTCGAAATGGTTAAAGCAAAAGATAAATCATACTTCATTCCAAAATCAAGTCTTAGAGTCATACTCCAAGATTGCAACTTGAATACATAATCTTTAGATGGTTAATAATACTTGTCAAATGTAGAGTAAAGTGTTTTCTTACTCTTGAACATTTGAAATTGGT